AGTTTAGTACAATTTAGATTTGAAGGAAAGAATAGAGATGGCGGACAATAAAATTACTGTTATGGGACAGGATTTAGACATTGTTGAAAATTCGAACTTATAAGTACGAAAAGTACTAAATGATACTAAATATGGTAAAATTGAGATCTATGTGAACGGGTAGAAATAATTAAAATTACTGTTGCAGTATGGAATTGAGGCAGTTTTAGAAACTCGTACTTACGTCTACGAAAAGTAATAAATGGTACTAAATTTTGGTGAACGCATAGAGCTGGAATCTTTAAATGCAGACTTAAGGTTATTATTGGAGTGCACGTCTTAGGTAGTTTTGGAAATTCGTACTTTGGGTACGAAAAGTACAAAAATTGGTACAATTTGGACTTTGGTGAACGATTACTATTTGAAAGCGGGTTTGAAATATTGAGAATATGGGTACGAAAAGTAGAGAATGTTATCAAATATGATATAATTTGGCCTTTAATAAACAGACAGAGCTGAAATTTTTAAATTTGCAATTACGATTACTATTTAAAAGCAGAATTGATTTACATTTGACAATTTGTACTTATGAGTACCAAAAGAACTAAATTTGGTACAATGTGGACTTTGGTGGAATTAAGATTACTATTAAAGTGTAGGATTGATGTAGTTTTAGAAATTCTTACTTATGGGTATAAAAAGTACTAAATGGTACTAAATTTGAAACGATTTGGGTTTGAATGATTCCTGAGATTTAAAATTCTGATTACTGTTGAAGTGTAATATTGAGCTAGGGAGACAACTTTGGAAACTAGATTTTATGTGTGCGAATAGTAAATAGAAAATTCATTAAATTTGGAACATTTGGATTTGGGTAACGGAGAGAATTGGAAACCTACAATTTGCAGTTAGAAAGAAGAACCAAATTGTTTTAGTGGTGGTGATTGTATGGAGGTTGTCTTGAAAATGTGTACTTATGTGTTCGAAAAGTTCTAAATGGAACTGGATGTGGAACCTGTACGTTTCTGCTAAAGTATTTAATTGGAATTCTATTCTATTTTTAATCTATGTAATGGAAATAAGAAAGATATTTCAGAAAATAGTGCTGATGTGTATGAAGAGTACTTAATTGTAAAAAATTTATTATATAGATATAGGAAAAGAGGTAGAATTCACATTTCCATATGATTTTTTTTTTTTTGTATTGCCTTTCCAAATACGAAGTAGCGGGCACGTTGCTAGTCCCCCATATAAGGGTATCGCCCTATTGTCAGTACGTATTTTGAAGGTTGTAACCGAATTGTCTCATCAAAGTTGCTATGATTTGACATTCCGGGACATTGGAGAGTAAAACACATTTTTGCGGAAAGTAATCTATATCGGTCCATGTTTAAATAAAGTCTTCCAATAAATGTACTCCCAATTTTCGTATTTTTTTGGTTTTAGCTATACTTTCCAATCGAATTTTCGAAATAGGTATCGGCATTGACATGGCCTCCATTCCCGATATTCTGAAGTTTTCCAGGAATTGCGTTCGAATGCTTACAAAAGCTGGGTAGTGATATAGGAAATGTTCCAACGACTCGCTTTCTTCGAAGGTGTCCCGCTGTCCCCTGTCAATTTATTGATTTCTCTTTTGTTAAGTCCTCTCGTTATTCCGAACTATTTTGCCCATTAACTCATTGCTCATCCCCCCTTAAAATAAAATCCAACAAAATGTTTGTAATGTTGTCATATAATTTTATTGATAATTTTACATAACATAATTCAACTAAATTTTATATATTATTCGTTGTATTTATTTGTGGGAATCATATTTAATATTAACTATTTATATAATTATTTTAACTAATAAAAAATATAATAAAATCATTTATTATTTATAGCTTAAAAAAATTAAAAAAAAACTGCATTTACTACTATGAAGAAAAAAAACTGCTATTTGGACTACATAGCTGTCATTATAGTCTAAAATATTATAAATATATATGTATGTTATTATGTACATATATTATATATACTCAATTAAAAATACAAATATTACTTAAAAAATATTATTTATTATATATAAAAAATATATTGCGTTTGCCTTACAAACTAAAAACATTGCACATTTCCGGCCATTGACAACGGAAAAATTATCACATTTTTCATTTGAAAAAATTAAAATAAATTAAAAATAAACATTACTACATAATTATAATAATGAAATGTTTTAAGATGGTTTAAATTAATTTAGTTTAAAAAAGTCAATTGCACTTGTTTGCTATATAATTGCACATACATGTTATTCGTGAGCGACAAAGAGATAATTAGTTAGCAAAGTTAACTCAGACTCATTTTCTTTTTGTGAGACAGTTAAAAATAAACAACTGCTCAGTAGTAAATATGAAGATAATTATTAATAAAAATAACTATATAAAAAATTCAATAAAAATTAATAGAATAAGGGTATCATAAGTTAGTAGGATACAATTAAAAAATAATATAAATATGTTAATGTGAGAAAACCTCAAAATGTGCGATGCTTTTTGAATAGTAATTGTAGAAGATCTTGGAAAAAAACTATCTGTAGAAGACCTGGTATTCAATCTATGGAGGACCATTAAGTTTAGGTGTAGAAAAATATAAAGCCAGTATTTAGGAGTACTTCTACAAATGGGAGAAATGTGTGGTGTCCCTTATGAATAGAATTCATTTTAGATGCTATTTGAATAGAGGTAAGATGGCCTATAGATAGAAGATCTAAAAAGGATCTTTTATGGTATTTTTATACCCTTCACCACACTGTGGTACAGGGTATTATGGCTTTGTGCATATGTTTGTAACAGGCAAAGGGAAACCAGAAAGACACACGGTTCCTTTTGAGAATATGCATAGAATCACTTTTTAAGTCGATTTATGCATGTCCGTCCGTCTGTATGTCCATGTTAAATTGTAAACAAAGTACAGGTCGCATTTATGATTCGAATTGGATGAAATTTGGCACAGCTCATTTGTTTGGCCTAAGGACGAACCCTATTGAAATTGGGAAAATCGGTTCAGATTTATATATAGCTCCCATATATATTTTCGTCCGATTTAAGGTAAATGGTGCACCAAAGTTCCTATATACCTTTCAATTTGCACGAAATTTGGCACTGCGTAATGAATAAGGTCACGAATGATGTGTGCTAAGTTTCGCGAAAATCGGTTCAGATTTAGATATAGCTCCCATATATAGCTTCGCCCGATTTTAGGTATATAGTCCACTAAAGTCCTTGGAAATCTTTTGACTTGTACGAAATTTGGCACAACGTACTAAATTAAGTATAGAATGATACGTGCAAAGTTTCGTGAAAATCGGTTCAGATTTAGATAGGGCTCCCATATATAGCTTCGCCCGATTTTAGGTAAATAGTCCTCTAAAGTCCTTGGAAATCTTTTGACTTGCACGAAATTTGGCACGGCGTAATCAATAAGGTCTAGAATGATGTTTGCCAAGTTTCGTGAAAATCAATTCAGATTTAGATATAGCTCCCATATATATCTTCGTCCGATTTAAGGTAAATTGTGTACCAAAGTCCCTATATATAATTCGATTTGAACGAAATTTGGCACAGCGTACTAAATTAAATATAGAATGATGTGTGCAAAGATTCGTAAAAATCGGTTCAAATTTAGATATAGCTCCCATATATAGCTTCGCCCGAGTTGAGGTAAATAGTCCACTAATGTCCCTGGAAATCTTTTGATGTGCACGAAATTTGGCGCAGAGTTATGAATAAGATCGAGAATGGTGTCTGCCAAGTTTCATGAAAATCGGTTCAGGTTTAGGTACTGATGTTATATAAATTAGTCTCTGGCAAGTTTCCCTGAAATCGGTTCAGATATTAGATTTATAACAAAACGCGTCGTCTGTTAGGATACATATGTAAAATATAACCAAAGTGGTGAAGGGTATCATATAGTCGGCCCAGTCCGACTTTACTACTTTCCTTACTGGTTTTTTAATTAAAAGACATGTGAGAAATCCTTTATAAATAGACGGTCAGTAAAGGATAGTCTACAAATAAATAACAAACATGGTCGATAAGAAGTCTTGTATAAAGAAAGACAATTTAGAGGTCTTAAAAGACCTGCGAGTGGCCTTCTTTTGATACAAGTTTTGTATCGTCTTCTATTTAAAGAAAATGTTTTTCAGGTCTTCCATAGAGAGAACTGCACAAATCGCCAGACCTAAAAGTGCCCTATTAAGATAAAATACTTTTCAGAGATCTTCTGTTGACATTTTTCTAAAACCAAAAAGCCCTCTGAGGGGTACATTTAGAGGTCTTCTTCAGATAGAAGAAAAATATTTTTTAGACGTCTTCTATTGAAGATCAGTGAACCACCAACCTCACAACAAATGGTGGGGGTTGATGAATCACTGGGTCTTTGCCGTCTTGAATGTTTAAGGAATACTTTTTTGAGGTCTTCTATAGAGAGAACGTTTGGAAAGTTTTTTTTTCTGAACGCTAGACCTCAAAGTGCCCTATTATGATAAATTACTTTTCATAGATCTTCTGTAGAGATTTTCCTAAAACAAAAAAGAGCTCTGAGTGGTAAATTTAGAGGTCTTCTTTAGATAGAAGATCCGTGTGAAGTTTTTTATAAAAAAAAAATCTGTCAGAGGTCTTCTGTTGATAAAGGATCATGTAGAGGCCCAATAAAGGTCTGTTACAGATCTAGAACCAATAAGAATTTTTTAAATATTGCTGTGATATACTACCATTTTCAATTAATGAGGTTTTCAGGGCCGTTTTCTACAGCGAGAAGCTTAAAAAATAAATCTAAAATTAAACTTCGAAAATTTATTAAAATATATGTTTAAAGCTCTATAAAATAAATTAATTCTGAACTACTACACTACTCCTAAGGGTCATTTAAAAGTGTGTATATATAATTTATTTTAAATATGTCTATATAAAAAAATATATACATCTCGTAGCTACTTCCCCATAACCTACAAAAAAACCATTTTCTTGTAGTTCTCAATTTCATCATCTCTCCATTGATTTTCGTACATTTTTATATAACACCGAATGTGTTTCAACACTTTCCGCACCAGATTCCCACATATCATCGGGATTGGTTTCACCATCCGTTTCCGATGAACCATAGCTGGTGGTAGGATGTTCATCATCTTCCTCCTCCTCTTCTGAAGTATAATTGGTGGACGATGACGATCTGGCGGTGGAATTACCTTGTGTATTAGATCGCGTTAAAGTTTTATCTGAATCATTATCGCTATCATTGTCCACATGACGTCCACCCTCCTCCTCTTCATCATCCTCCTCCTCCTCTACACCCAATTCTATACTATTACCCATGTCTTGTTGCTGTTCATTGATATGTTCAAAGTCTTCGAAACGGCTATTATCTTGAGCCATTCGCTGTTGATCCGTTGAGGTACTTTCAATATCCGAATTATCCTCAATGGTATCGACACGTATTATGTGATCTCGTCCAGACATTAATTTAAAATTGTAGCGATCATAGAAACTACGTTTTAGGGCCTCTCCGGAATCTGCACTCATATAGCCACTATCCATTTCTTGTAGCGGTCGCGGACCAAACCGTTGTTCGTAGTAATTTTGACTAGCCGGTGCGGAATAGGTACTTTTGGGTGAGGAAACCCTAGGCGGGCCTTCAATCAAGGATGATATACCCTCATCCCGTTCGAGGGCATCCAAAATGGACGAGGTAGTTTTCTTATCAAATGGTGGTGCTGGACTTTGGGTAGGACTAAATTTCGACGCCGCCATGCTAACAAATTTCTTCCAGGCATTTTTTATATCTTTGGCTTTTTTCGGGCGATCCTTAAGGCCCATGGCAATTTGCATGCCATGCGTTAGCTGGACCGGTTCAATTTCACAACGATATACCGTTTGAACATTTGTTGTGGTCGTGGTGGTGTGTGTAGGTGTGGTGGCAGTTTGATTGGCTGTTGTACTATTCGCCGTACTACGCTGGGGATATGCAATGCCCACGGGTACACCAGCATTACGATACATTTCCTTGGTACGATCGGATAAACGACTGCTGCTACGATTCGATCGGGAACTCAGGGAAATAACATCAAGTTTATTTGGATCCATGTCAGAGGCATTTTTTAAATTATTGTTGGCTTCGAGTATCGGAGATTCCATGGGGGTGTTGCTTTTGTGGTGGACATTTTCGTTGGGGATTTCAATTTTTTCTTGAGATTTTCGCCGATTTAAATATTTGTTGAGGCTATAGTCATTCCGTAGCCCCTTGATTTGGGTATTAAATATGGCACCATAATCCTCTCCTTTTAGTTTTTTCAATGCCTGATTGGCTTCGGTGGCAGGTTGTGTATCCTCTGATGTATGGGGGTTATTATTTTCGGATGAATTTTCATCCTCCTCCTCGTCTTCTTTTTCCTCATCCTCTTCGTTGCAGGTGTAGGGTAAGTTGGGTTTACGTATGGAACCACCAAATTCCGAGTTGGTCATGGTTCCAGAAATACCCGTCACTTCGGTACATTCACTGTGATTACTGAGGGTATCCTCCTCCGATTGATTGATGTTATATTGCCTAGTTTGAGAACTGGACGAACGACTTGTACGACTATTTAAGGTGGTTGAGGCTGAGGTAGTTGGCGGTGGTGGTGGAGGTGGTAGTGGTGAATTCGAAATGCTTCGTTGTTTTCTAGGTGGTGTGGGTGTAATACTGGGACTCCGAGCGGGTAATTTGGGCGAGGGAGAGTGTTTGCGTGAAGAAAGTTCATCCATTGATCTCGATTGATGAATGCGTGGTTCCACATATTCTGTGGGACGTTTTTCCGTGCTCTGCTGTTCCCGCTTTGCCTTAGGGGTTAGGATTTTTATGGTACATTTATTGGGGCTGTCATTGGAAATTTCCACTACAGGTGGTGGAGTTGGTGGTTCACTGGGTCTTTGGCGTCTTGAATGTTTGGCCTCTAGGGTGAGTATGCGTCCCTTCTCGGTAAGGTCTTCCAATTGTTCTTGCAAATACAGACTGGTGGCCTTACCACCACATTTACAACTACAATCACTATTCTGTCTTACCAGCAGAGACTGATAGATTTCTCGCAAATTATTGACATTTTGTTTGGTCTCCTCTGCTTCGTGCTGATGATGAGCGTGATGATGATTTTGGTTACACCCTCGCCTCAATTCCACCTGACTTTCGTATGCTGAGTCGCGACTATTTTTACGGAGAGAACAATCCCCGTGGTTGTGTGTGTTGGCGGGCTTGAGGCGAAATGAATTTTTACCCGACAGATCCATCATACTACCTGCAGCCAAAGGACGTTGCTGTTGATGCTGGTGGTGGTGCTGCTGATGATGATTCATATCGGGCAGTGATTGTGGTGGCGAATTGATTTCTTTCTTAATATCCGTCATACTTGACCAATTACTGACATCACAAAAACTTTGTTTTTTCGGTTTACGATCCAGAGTATCCGGTTCATATTGATCACTATCTGTGGAACGCTCTAAATCGGAGGGTGGTTCATGTTCCACTTCAATGGTCATGCTGCCACGAAATGGGGTGTCATATTTAATGCGTGCGGCAATATCCTTTTGCATGCTGTTCGTATCCATGGATCTGAGCATTTTCTTTTGATTATTGTTTAAGGTTTTATTCGGAAATGTTCCGCCATCGCGTCCAAAAACCGTATGGCTTATTTCCAATTCCTCTTCCAAAGGCAGGGCGGTACTAAGACTAGGACTCAGTTGAGAACTAACATCGGAGGATGGTGATGAGGAGGATTGTGACGATTTCCGTTTCGTCGATTCCAAGCGTTCCAAACTATCTGTTTCATAATCCACAATAAGATATTGGGGAGATTTTCTTCGATAAATCGGTGAGTCGGGTTGATATTGTTTCAATGATCTACGACTAAGTGAGCTATAGTCGGGAGTGGGCACCGAGGGAACACTGCCCTGGGTATTATTGTAAATATCTTTGATTTTCTTTTCCATGGTACTATCATAATCCGGTGTGGGTATGTCTACATGGAAGCTGCTATTCGAGCGCAGGGTGGCAGTATATTCTTTGATCAAAGCATCTGCGTCCAGCGATTCATTCATTTGTTCCATATTCCTTAGCATGTGATAATGCTGGCGTTCAGCCGATGTCAAGGAGGTGGGTGTTGAGGCTGCCGCATATTGATCCAGAACATCCAAACGTTTTCGCGACCGCTGAGAAGAACGGCTACGTTGAGATGCTGAGGGAGAGTCGTGCAGGGTGAATTTCGGATTATTATAAAGTTCCCCACCCGTCTCAGCATAGCCGTACATATAAGCTGAGGCCGTAATGGCGGAATAGGTTTCTAATTTGTGATGTAAAATGGGTATGTTCAAGGAATTCTTGGGCTGTGAGGGTTTTTCATAATTCTGGAAATTATTTTCCGCCACACCCTCAACCAATTGTTGGTGGTGATCCCGGATTTCCTCTTTCTCCCCTTCATCATTGCTTCTATTTTTACTTTGGCCATTCGCAGAAGAGCCATTAGAGGAGCCTTGTGTTGTTTTCTGTGTTGGCGGTGGTGGTGGCCTTTGCTTGGGCGCCATTATCTCTTTGCGGCCTCTTCTCGTTGAGGCTGCATTCGCTGTGGCTGGCCTGTTGCCACTTTGTGACGAAGATGATGTGGAGCCCCTTGGTGATTGACGATCTTTTTCCGGACTAGGTGTTACTGTTTCTCGTTGATTATTCGTTGCAGGAGGATTTCCACTTTGATTCTCTTCATTAAGATTAACAGTTTCCAGCCATTTTTCAATGGTATTACGTTTATCACCACAATTTTTAACATGACCACTACAACGATTATTTGCACAGGCCTGACAGGCGGCGTCTGTTCCTTGTGCTTGGGAACCAAATAAGGAGGGGGTATCGGAACGTGTTGTACTCTCCTCGGGGATCATAATCAATGAAGGCTGATATCGCTTGGCGGCCATTTTGTATTTGGCAATGGCAATTACTTCACGGATTTTTTGCAGAAATTCCAAGGCAGCGGGGGGAGGTTGCTGGGGAAACACGACAAACAAAAAATATTTTATAAAATTAAATTTATAGCAAAATCTCTCCCAAAACTTACCGCCAATAAATGCGGCTCAAAATACGCTGGATTGAAATATAATTTCTTGCGCACATTGCCATTGACCATGGCCCTCAGATTTTCCAACTTCTCTTCGGTCATAATATCCTCAATAATGGCAACATTTTCTTGGGGTAAACATTCCGTTTCCTGACCATTAGAGTTGCCATCTAATTGATCTTCATTTGTGGAGCTGCTACTGCCATTACCATTGCCATTACTGGAGGAGTGGTGAGAGCCCTTTGGCGACTCACTGCTGCCATTTGGCATCATACCCATTTGGGGATGTATCAAGGCATTGGTTTGCATCTTCAAAAAATACAAAAATAAATTCGAATTAAATTAAATTAAAATTCACCTCCTCCCTTCCCCACCTACCTGTTTAATTTTATCATGATGATAACCACCACCATCCATTTCACATTCCGAAGCGGAATTCGATATATCACTCGTGAAACCCGAATGATGATCACTTAGTTGTGGAAAGTGCTGTAGCAAGGGATTGTTTTTAACAATACCCATTTCTTCTTTCATACTACTCAAGCTGGCACGAGATCTGGGTTCATTGGACGTGGCCATACTACCCACTGAATATAGGCTACCACTTCGTGTAAATGGCGCTCCAAATGTCACTTGATCATTTTTCGGATAATTTATTTCATTAGCCAAATCATCAAGTGAATTACGCATCCTCGGTTGCTCTCGTCCTTTACGTTTTTTCATGTGCAGATAGAGGAAGACCGAAGAGACGTAAATAAGTCCGAGCAGGAGACTACACACACCAATGACAATATATTCTTTGGTGGACATACCATCTGATGTGGCAGCCAAGGTAGTGGTGGCCTCCGATTGGAATAAGACCTCAGAGACATCTAGTGCGGTATGGAAGAAAAAATTGAAGAAATTTAATAATTTTTATTAAACAAAAAATTAAAACATTTTTTAAAAAATCTAGGCCGTTGATATTCTTTGAAAAAAAAAAAACAATAAAAAAATTCAAAATGTTATCCAAGTTTTTTATCCTAGAGTCTTGTTTGTCCGTTTTACATTGATGAGCTAAATTGGGATTCATGTAAAAAATAATAACTTCTGACCTGCACTCTTTTTTCATCTATTCTTCAGTTACATTCAATTTTCCCGTTTTGAAGTCAATGACCTATTTTCCCTCCTCCACCATTCCCAAAAGTTTTTCTTATTTATTTCCCTGACCTTTCCCAGGCAACCTTTCAAAAACAATCAAAATAAAGATTTTCCTTTGGGGGTCAAAACATCTCTACATGCAACCAACAGCAACAACAACACAGTTTTGGTGACACGTTACAACAATTCCATTTATTTACACTTTCCTTGAAAATAGAAACACACACACACACGAAGGCAAACATACTTACTGTTGGCAAATTTAACAGGACTACCATTAACACGAAATGCAACACAGGGTGAAAAGACATTTTTCGGCGGCATAATGTGATCTGTGGGAAGAAGAAGAAAAATTACAGAAAAATCACAGAAGAACAAGTTTTCCAATCAATAACCAGCAATCGATGTACTGGAGAGAAATTCGGCAACAGAAATAATATATTAACTTACCACTTGTAGATGACATGTTCAGCGGCAAAGTCATATCACGACACACTAAATGCACAACGATGAGGCGACCTTGCATTTTGTGACGGAGATCAGCTTCACCCAACCACTGGAAGGTAATTTGAAGAAGAAGCAACAAAAAAAGATATTACAAAATTTGAAAATACATTGAAATACCAAATTAAAGGTCATAGTAGGTGGAATCAAGGTAAATGAAAACAAAAATGAAAAACAAAGAGCGAAAAATATTTTTTTAAGTCCACGCCTATGATAGTCTTTTAAAAAATGTACTGGGTTGCCTATATTCGACGGACCCATCTGGCAACGCCATAACTTTTGATAGAGATGTCACATCGCTTAATGACATACCGCGTTTGAAGCGTCAGTCCAAGCAGATTTTTACCATGAACAAATACACGCCACGCGAGCGCTCTGAAATAGTTGAAATTTACATTCAACAGAAGAAGTCAATTGTGAAAACTCAACAAAACATTAAAAAATGTGAAAGGTGCGCCTTCTAAGAACACCAGCGTTTATACGAAAAAATTTCGACTTCTAATCCGAAAAGGCCATATAAAAGTCGACCAAGGCGATCGGCCGAGAATAGCGCTGCCAGTGTCAGTGTTGAGAGGTCCCCAAGAACATCCCAAAAACGCCGTTCTCAGCAGTTGGGCATGGCTCGGTCCACTTTATAACGGATTATTCGCATTGATTTGCATTTGTTCCCGTACAAAATTCAATTGACGCAAAGAATGTTGCCTGCGGACAAGCCTCGTCGATTGGAATGGGCCCAAAGAGTCATCGAAATGAACGAAGATGACGAGCAATTTTGGAACAAAATTATCATGTCCGGTGAAGTCAATTTCACATTGAATGGGACCGTAAATAAGCAAAATTGCCCTTTTTAACGCCACTGAAAATCCTCAGGAGATTCAAGAAGTGCCTCTTCATTACGAAAAGTCCACCGCACACAAGTCGCATAACAATCGATTTTCTGAAGAATTAGTTCCACCGCACACAAGTCGCATAACAATCGATTTTTTTAAGAATTTGTTTATGGGCCGTTTGATGTCGAAAAGTGGTGATTTGGACTGGCCACCGCGTTCGCCCGATTTGACGCCGCCTGACTTCTTCTTGTGGGGATATTTGAAGTCAAAGGTTTACGTTAACAAGCCAAGGACCGTAGAAGAGCTCAAGGACAACATTCGTGAAAAAAACATGGGTTCGTCCAATATGGGCAAACCTGTATTTTTAAAAATTCACGCCTATGATAGTCTTGGAAAAAAATATATTTTTAACCAGTAAGGAAAGCTCAAAAGTCGAACGGGGCCCACTATATGATACCTACTTTGGAGGACCATTGAGATGGAATCGGGCGAAATTAAATGTGCTATCTATCAAGATAGCATTTGTATGGAGTCGAGTTAAATTATGTATGGGAGGTATATGTAAACCTCTGCCAAATTTCGTGTAAATCGAACAAACAAAAGCCCTTCGATGCACCATTTACATAAGATCGAACGGAAATATATATAAGACCTACATCAAAATCTGAAACGACTTCAACAAACCTTATCACATATCACTTTTTCCTCAATTGCATTCACTATGTAAAATTTTGCTCAATCAGACAAATATTGGGAGTTTGGTGCATCATTCACATAAAATCGGTCGAATCTATATGTGGAGCTACATCTAAATCTGAATCGATTTTCACTAAACTTCGCAGACATCAATCTGGACCTGATTCAGTGCGCTGTGCAAAAATTGGAAGTTTGGTGCACCAATCGGATAACTATATATGGGCTATTAAGTGCATCGGTTTTCACAAAATAAAATCGGATTCAGTGCGCTGTGCAAATTTTTATCCCATTCGGATAAATATTGGGAGTTAAGTGCATTATTTACATAAAATCGGACGAAACTATATATGGGCGCTATAACTAAATCAGAACCGATTTTCTACAATTTCAATAGGTTTCGTCCTTGGGCCATATAAATGAACTGTGTGAAATTTCATCCAAATCGGATCATAAATGCGACCTATACGTTGTTCACAAAAATACATGGACATGGACGGACATGTGTAAATCGACTCAGAAAGTGATTCTATGCATATGCTCAAAAGGAACCATGGGTCTATCTCGATTCCTTTTGCATGTTACAAATATGTGCAGAGAGACATAATACTCTGTACCACGGTGTGGTGAAGGGTATAAAAGTCCACGCCTGTGACAGTCTTTGAAAAATATATTTTTAAAATTCTCGCATATGATAGTCATTGAAAAAATAAATTTTTAAAATCACACACAAGAAAGTTATTGAAAAAATATTTTATTAAAAATCTACGCCAGTAATAGTCTTTGAAAAAATGTATTTTTAACCTCACACATATGATAACCCTTTAATTGTTTTAATGCTCTCCTATATTAGTCCTAGAAAACTAACGTATACAATAGTCATTGAAAAAAAAAATTCAAAATCCTTAAAAAATATTTTCTTAAAATACTACCCCTATGATATTCGCTGGCAAAAATATTTTATTGAATATCCCCACCCCAAAGATAAAATATTAGATGGCAATCATAAAAGTGTTTATATGTTAAAGATCAGACTATGACAGATTGTCTTAAGCATACAAGACTACACACGTGTTTGAATTAAAAAATAAAAGACTTAAGTGACAAACTTTGCTACGCATAAAGGCGAGACAAGGCAACACACTCTCTGGTTGACAGCTTCAAATGACTTTCATTACAAAAACTCAATTAGACACTTTATTAACAAAAAAAAAAAAATAAAATAAAATAAAAAAAAATTGTCACGCAATGCCGTTTTTTTTTGTTGTAGAAAAACATAAAGAATGGGTAGGTAGTTCATGTTATAAATTTTCTTTTAAACGTATTTGTTTTTCATTTTCTTTGTAAGTCTGTCGAAATAATAAATGTTTTATATATAATTTTATAGGCGTTGAAGTGTTGTTGCTTTTAATATTTTTTAAATGTCTGTTATATTTGCGGTTAGTGGCCGTCATTCAACCCACTTACTTAGTTTCTATAAAAGACATTCATTTGTTTTAATCATATTTTGTTTTTGTTATAATAATTGGTTGCCTTTACAAAAAACAAGCAACAACAATAACAATAGTGTTATATTGTTGGCGTCAAATACACGCAATTTATTTGTTGTTTTGTTTCATTTTCTTTTGCTTTTTATTATAAACTTGACATGAAATTATAGAAAATTATTCACGCTTTTCTATACATATATGTATATATACATTTATTATTACCTGTAAAAATGTACGCCCCTCATCACGAAACATACGAAAGGGGTAATCATTGTCGATGGGATTGCGTAGATCCGACCAACCGTTTATGGTTAAATATTGGGCACCCGTTACAGCACACACCGGTGTTCGGATATCTAAGTGGAATACAAAACATAATTGATTAAGGTCTGATTGATTGATAATTATTAGATTAATTTATTAGAAACATATTTTCATATATAATGTTAGGGCTGTATTTTATAATAGTGTAAATTTTACTTATCATTTTTAGTTTTTTTTTTATAAAAAACATTCCGTTATAAATATATGTATATTTTCAAAAAGAATCATTAATAATTTTCGTTATTTTATTTTTCATAAATAAATATATGTGTTGGACTTACCTGCGAAACTTATTTCCCTGCTGGGATAAATAATTTGACCCCTAAGCGGCAGAAAAACATAAGGAATTTTCTCAGATGATGAACCACTGACAAATGGTGACAATGAGCACTCTGAAAAGATGTATAAACATTTATATTGTATAACTTACTTAAATTTCAAAAAAAAAAAAATATTTTCTTTAAAAACATTATATAAAAATCGAATGCTAGTTTATTGCAAGAAAAAATTCCATTTAATAAAAATGTTACAATTCGAATTGAATTAAATCCTTTAATTGTTTCCTTCTTAGTCAAGCATAAACTTATTTCGAGAAATTGTTAAAAGTATGTCCTTCGACCCACTGAATATCCCAATATTTTTGAAAATGTTCGTAATAGGTGTACCAAAACGTGGTATTTTCTAGTTAAGAAATGTTGCCAGCATTTTATAAAGGAAAGGAGTATACCAAAATTATGACAAAGAGATCAATTAAAAAATCCTCGGTCTGACTAATAGAGAGCGCTATATTGTTTTTATAAATTATACAGCAATCGAATAATTATTGGTGAAAATAGCCTTTTTGATTTAATTCGAATCTACTCTTATTCTAGAATGTACCTATAAAATTTCAAGTGAAAATCTCAAGAACCCTAGAAGATATAGCCGATTTATTGTGTCAGCATCAAGTGACGGCAAGAGTGATTCTCAAACTTAAAACGCATTTTTCTCGAAACATTGTTTTACGAATGGCGGGCACGATAACTCAAAACCTAATAATCCAATCGGTTCCAAATTTGCACACATTGTTCTGTGTATCAATCGGTGAAGATATTCCTTATTTTTTTTAACTTAGTTTGCAGTCAAAAATAAGCGATTTTGCAAAAAAAAAAAAAAAAAAAAAAAAAAAAATCAAAGTTCAGCCATTTTGTTAATTGTTGTGCGAAGTCAAGAATCCTAGTTCATACGAGAGCCAGACATGTACTCTTTCTAGCACTGTTTTGTAAATAGACTTAAAGCAAACTTTACGCACGCTATTTGGTATGCTTCACTGTTTAAAATGTAAAATCAATCCAGCACCCATCGGTAATTTGGTTTACAATCAACATGAATAGGTCGAATTATATATGGAAGCTATGCTATGTCTAAATCTGAACCGAATTCAAGGAAAATTGCGCGAGATTAATTTATATTAGTTTCGGTACATTTTGCCAATTGGCTTAGCATGGGTCTTTAGTACACCATTTACGTAAAATCGGACAAAAGTTATATAGGAACTATATGTAAATCTGAACCAATTTCAAGAGAACTTGACACACGAAAGGATATAAAAACTTCAGTACATTGTCCAAATTGTGTGCGGGTCGGACAATCTTTGGTTCTTTAGTGCACAAATTACATTAAATTGGACGAAAATATATATTGGAGCTATATCTAAATCTGAACCGATTTTCACGAAACTTAGCACACATCATTCTGGACCCAATTCAGTACCCTATGCCAAATTTCGAAAGATATATAGGGACTTTGGAGACCCATTTACCTTAAATCGGACGAAAAAATAGATGGGAGCTACATATAAATCTGACCCGATTTTCTCGAAACTTGGCACACGTCATTCTTGATCTAATTCAGTACCAAATTCCGTCCAAATCGAAAGATATATAGAGGCTTTGGAGCCCCATTTATCTTAAATCGGAAGAAAATATATATGGGAGCTATTTCTAAATCTGAACCGATTTTTCCCAATTTCAATATTGTTCGTCCTTGGGCCAAATAAGTGACTTGTGCCAAATTTCGTCCAAATCGGATCATAAATGCGACCTGTACTTTGTTTTCAATTTAACATCTACAGACGGACGGGCGGACGGACGGACATGCATACATCGACTCAGAAAGTGATTCTATGCATATTCTCAAAAGGAACCATGTGTCTATCTCATTTCCTTTTGCCTGTTGCAAACATATGCACAAAGACATAATACCCTGTACCAAAGTGTGGTGAAGGTTATAATAATAAAAAATCGTGAATGGGGTGGGGTTCCTTAAACAAATACGTATAGTTCCCACATCCAAGTACATAGAACAATATAATTGGCATCAATTTAAAGGTTAACCACTTCTCTTTGATATACTATCAACTTCTCGGGTCTATGTCCTTCAGGAGTAAATATATTTGCCATAGAATATAAATTCTCTCATTTTTCACACAAAGGACCGACCTGCTAAATATTGACCGATCTTCATAAAACGTATTCCATGGTCATATCCCTTTCTCTGTGTAATGCATATTGTGTGGCCTCTAGAGCGTCCAGAAAATCTGAAAAAAAAGTTTTTGGTCCATTTCATCCCCTAAATATTAACGGATCATTATCAAAAACAATAGCGGTCTTCTTTGGCCAGAACCCATCCTACATGCACAATTCCGTAGTCGATTTGTCATTAAATGTGTTTACAAGTTATAATGGACAGATGGACGGACACAAATGTCTAGATCGATTCAGCTAGTCGAGATATGCATGTCCGACAACATAGTTGTGTAGGGTATAAACACAATCAATGCATCACCGTTGATCTGTTTTTAGCGAAATAATTTAGAAATTTTTGAAAATGTTCATTAAGAAATTTAAGAAAATATTCGACGATATCTCTTGATATATCAAGTTAATGTTTATATCTGATTGGATTATTTTAATACTCTTCCATCATAATCTGTATTTTTAAAGATTTGTTTCACATTTTCACTTCAAGAAAATTGTTTTTTTTTTTGACTACGAGCGCAACAATATATTTTTTGTCGAAAATTTGATTATTTATTATCCAAAATGGGTCTATTACATATTTTTTCAATTCCGATTGTTGTACAATATTGAGAAGGCTATAAAGAGCTTCACCCGATGATCAAAAGCAGTGCCAGCCAATAAGTTTCCAATCATTCCTATTGATGTTTATATTCCAACGTGTATATCTTTAATTTTGAAAGAAGATTTCGGTGCCTAAAGGATATTTCTTTTTTGTAGTCCGACTTCCAAAAATTTGTTGGGGAATTAAAATCCTGGACTTATAAATGAATTGAATTATGCTAATTTTTAATAATATTATACCTAAAATGTGAACTTCTTAACACGATCAACCAGGTACATCGACGATATCCCTGTTTATACCCTATAGACTCATAAACTTCCATCTACAGATTTATGGTCGAATTTCCGTAGAATAATAAATTCCACAAAATTGATATCAGCTCGTAAAAGGTTTATTACATATAGTACTCAGAAAAAATACAAAATATAGTTAATGTTTACATTTTTTAAGTATCTGTATCTTAGCATTGTAGTAATCCCACAATATATCTGTTACTATTCAATATCAAAAATATTTTTTATAACTTCCTCTCCATTGTAATAACAACAAAAATTTTAATGCAAACTTGTCGCACTATACATGCATTCAAATCGGCACCAATAACAACAGCTATGTTTGCTATTTTTTAATTAACGGTCATAATTCAAATCATCTGCAATAAATATTACACCGAACATCATTAGTCATATAAATTAAAACCAGAAAATATGACTTCCCTTTTCGAACATTTTTACGTATGCGATCGAAAGTGAAAATCTCACTCACCTGTTTGTGTGACAAACAGACTAAAAGTAATTAAATTTTCGAACAAATATTTCAGATACTTAACAAGTCTAAAAAAATCATGAAAACCGTTAATGATTTATTTGTGGGTCATCACAGTCCACCACATAGCACAGCACCAATTAAAATAACTACCATATCTAGTGAAAGTGTATAAACAGAGGTTGAGTTTTACGTGTAAAAAATTCATTTAACGATTTATTCTTAAAACGAAAAACTCATTAATAATATTTACATCGATTTAGATCATTTATTCTAAAACAAACATGAAAGTGAAATTACATCGGAAATTATATTTCCTAGGTATGGTATTACTGCTGAGACATAAGAAAAATATTTTTTAATCATTTGTGATTTCGTCTATAACACCTCTAAATATTTGTCTGAAAAATCATCCTGACATGCAATTAACAGTGTATGCCCACATATTGACATAAATATATGGAAGTGGACATTTTTTTTGGTATTATGAATGAGTCCCGACGGATCCAAAACAGTACAGGTTTTGTTTTAATTTACCAGAGATTGTGTCATTACACCATGTTTCTTTTTTTCAAATTTCAAAAAAAAAAAAAAAAAATAGATTAATTATTTACATTAGATTGTTTATCTACACACACACAAATTTTACATAATACGTTTGTGTCTTAAGTCTTTTGTTTCTCGCTTTATTACAAAATTAAATTAAGACAGCTCTACTAGGAAGTTTATGATGTGTTAGTTTTATAATCAGCCAGTGATGGAAGACAGACCACATAAACAGACTATTGCATCTCTTTCTCTGCTTTTTAGATAGGGCGATATAATTTGCCACAACATTTTCCCACCTAATAAAGCCCTGTCACAATAACTTGTTGTCGTTGGATATGTTTTTGCATTGTCATATATATTTTTTTGCAAAACAAGAGTTTGTGTAAACACACAAAAAACTCTCACAATAAAAGAGAGAATCTCTTTGGCGTTTTTTTTTCTTTCCACACATCTTGTTAATTTTCATTGTATGGCTACACACTTTGCAGGAGAAAGAAAGAAACCACAACAAAATACCAGAAGAAGAAAAAAATTTCAACTATGTTTTCCTTCTTCTTTTCAATTATTTTTGTTTAGTGAGAGATATCTCAACACAAAACACAAATCCAAACAAATGGAAAAATAATTTAATTTTATTGTCTACGCGATGTACAATCAAATAAACCAAAACTAAATTAACTGCCATCATCATCATCAGTGCCGTCTTCGCCGTTGTGTCGGTGGTGTTTCCGACTTGTGTAGTTCATAAAACATGACAAGGCAAAAACAAATTCAAACGGTAGTGGAGAAGATCTACAACTGGCAAATGAAATGGAAAGTGATCTACAGATAAATATGGTAGGGCAAACACACTCACACTGGAGACAGACAGACCATCAGGCAGCTAGTCTGTCAGGCAAAAAACAGCGGGCATGCGACTAACTAACAATGTTACATGATGATGTTTTTTGTTCAG